AAAACCTACTCCCCTCCTTCCTGATAGTAACCACGCTCTTTACTCCCATCACCCCATGGCTCTCTCACGCAGCGCTGACCTCCTTCGAGCCACCTTGCGTGTATTACCCTCTCTCTCTCTCTCAACCCTCTCTCTTCCGTGATCCCTAGGCTAACCCTGCTCCTGCCCACTTCACGCGAGTGATACGCAACGCCAAGTCCTGAAGGCGAGCGTGACGCCAACCAGAACCCCTCTCTATCGCACACCGCTTAGACCGTACTCTTAGTCGGCGCCCAGTCTCTTCTTTCTGGTTCTCGATCACCCCTGTACTTAAGCCACGTGTTCACTCTCGACCATCTCTCCACCAGGGACAAAGGATAGTAAGCAGCACGGAGACCAGTGGGACGACCACTCGCTGACATCAACAATAATTCCTGGTTTAGAGAACCCGCAACAAGTCTGACTCCTCTCTCACCTTCATCTCCGGTCATCCGTAACCACCTCGAGCTCTCAATCTCTCCGCTGGACCAAACTGGCCTCTGGCCCGTCCTCTACCGACTCGGTTGGTGGATGCTCCCTCCTCCACTGTTCCAGCCCGTCCCAGGACTGCGTCAGCGCGTCGTTGGCTTCATACTCGGCCTCTGAGTCCCGGTCCAGCTACGCGCCATAGCTACTTGCCAGATAGCCTGATCTCGACACTTAGCACACACACACGCAGATAGTCCCCTGTCGACAACACGACCTCCACCCTCGGGTTGCCAGCAGTAGCACGGCAAAAAGCTTCATACGCGTCCACCAGTCAGTCGTTAATGACCCGCTCCCTCTCTCTTTTCAAGATTGCCACCTACCACGATCCCCGGGTTCTGAGTGAGGGACTTGATTTGGATGGCACTTAAATCCTGCAATTTAATAATTAGTGAAAAAAAATCAGTAAGACCGGTTTTATTAAACGGAGGATTCACGACAACATCCTCTTGGTTAATGAACTTCTGAAACTAACAAGGCAAGATAAACAGAATGCAGCGGTAGTCTTCATTGATTTTGAAAAAGCGTATGACCATGTAGATTGGCTGTTTTTAGACAAATGCATGGAGAAAATGAATATCGGACCAGTATTCCGGCGCTGGACCGAAATACTGCACCATAACGCCACTACGTGTGTCCAAGTCAACGCTAGGATAGCACCGACCTTTCCGCTGCAACGCTCGGTTCGCCAAGGGGATCCTCTGGCACCTTTCCTCTTCATCATCGTGATGGAGGCAATGGCAGCAAACCTGCGGGCCAACAAAGATCTGAGGAGATTGCAGATCTCTGCTATCCCCGAAGAGGCGATCCCTGTCTGCTCGATGTTTGCGGATGATTTGACTCTTATGAAAGACGCCACTGCAGCAAACATGGAGGAAATTAGGAGATTATTTGATCAATTTACAGCCGTCTCAGACATGACTGTCAACTGGGGAAACAAGACCCTGGGATGGTGGATCCAGCATCAAGGAGTGCGTCCACCGGAGCTGCCACAGGTCAAATGGCTTCCTGACACGGCCCCGGTCAGAGTGCTTGGAATTAGGTTGAGAGCGTTGGGAAAACCAGCATCCAATGACGAATGGATCCTAAAGCCGGCTCTAGAAAAACTGGCCAACTGGAAAGACCGGCATACTTCCCTTATTGGCAGAGCACTTGCAATCAACAGCGTAGTACTAGCGGCCTTGTGGTATAAATCCGCAATTTGGACCCTCAGCAAGGAGGTTCTTCGATCACTTAAAAGGCAACTAGTAGCCCTGCTATGGAGAGGGGATGGCGAGCTCTCAAACGTCATTAGCAGGGTGGCCTGGTCATCGGTAATCCAACCCAAGGACATAGGGGGCCTGTGAATACTGGACCCAGATATTCAGATCGCGGCATTAACTGTCCAATGGGTCAGGAGATTGCTGTTCACTGAGCACCTCCCATGGCAGGACCTAGCGCTGGAACAGATAGCCAGACTCGCCCCTCAGGCACCGCAAGGACTTAGCCCTCTGACCTGGCTAGAAGACCGCTTTTGGACTGTGCCAAGGCGCCCCCGTAAGGAGCGAGAATCACCCCGAGATGCGACCCGCTTGGACCTGGTCAGAGACAACTTCTGGACTTGAGTCGTTAAAACCTGGCGCCAACTTCCTCTGCCTGATCAACCCTCACCAACCAGGTGGGAGGAGGTAATGCGCCAGCCCCTTTTTGGGAACACGAAGATCACAGACCGCCACAACAAGGTGTATCGAAGCTCAGACTCCCCGTGGAACGGTTGGGTTAAAAAAGGAATTATTCGGATAAAAGACATATGGGACAAGGAAACGGGGGACTCAAAATCGGGGCCACAATTGAGAGCCGCACTAAAATACAATCACAAAATTGAAGAGAATGTCGAAATACTAACCAACGCAGTTCCCCTGGACTGGGTGCGCATTCTACGCAGAGGACCACGGCTGATGGAAGGGGATTGGGTAGCTATCCCAGGGGACCCGGAGAGTGTGGGCAATGTGGTGGAGTTAAGATCCGACGAAACGTTGATAAACCTCTTCCATATTGGCAAGGATAATATACTCACCCGGTACCGTCCTGAGGTAGTTCGATGGTGGAAAACAGTGGACCTGCACATGATCTGTGTGCTGCGGGAGAAAGACGTTTGTTTCGCATACCAGCCGAGTGTTCCCCTGATGGAGCTACCCTTGGATCCGGACGAGTGGCAGTGGGTCCCTAGGCGAAAACCTGGAACCGGGACCAACCTGAAGCTGCACACTCTATCAGTGAAGGCCACATACCGGCTGCTTCAACGTAAAGTGAACATAAAGGACATAGTGAAGGCCCGTTGGAAGTCACATTTAAACATAGGGAACGAGGTAATTCGCCCGATTCGATGGTTCTCGGCCACAAGATCCAGACCTGCGAAGATGGCCTCTCTGCAATGGATGATAGAACACCGCTGCCTGCCCACCAACGACTAGTTGATCGACCGTACATACCTGGAGCAAAAGGGGCAGGCATTACCATGGTGCAGGTCATGTCACACAGCCTTTCCCTCCCGCAGAATCCCGGAAACCATAGAGCACATATTCATACAGTGCCCAGGGGCGGTGCTCACATGGCGATGGTGGGATAGGATTTGGTCTCGGTTGGGCACTGGTTCTCACTGGCCATGGGATTGGCGGGCAATTTTATGCGAGGCATGGTCCTCCCCGACTGATAACACCTTCGAAAACAATATGTTCAAGTTCGGGAGAAGAGCGGTTGTGTGGACCCTCTGGAGAAGACGTTGCATACATGCTATGGATGGAGTCCGCATAACTGGGGAATAGTCAACAGATATGATAAGGCAATATATCCAACAAGAAATCACGATACACTGGCAAAGAACGAAAACCCAACTTGACCTATACCATTCTGTAAAGGACATCGCACAAGCAATTCGTCAATTTTCTGGGGATTGGCTGGGCACCGAGAATGGGGGCTGGATCGCATCTGACAAGTGGGACGGTAAGCCCTCCTCATAGGACAACCAGGTGGAATTCAAGGGACTACTGCATCTGCTTCAGGGACTGGACTACTGTGGGGCAGGAGATCCCATTGCGACCGGCCACAGAATTCCCGGACCCTTTCCCACCCCACCGGCTGGTGATGGTGGACATGCAATGGTATGGAGCAGACTGAGCGGGCGACACAGGGTGGATATGGAGAGGACGGGTATCTAGAGGACGGGCATCACGAGGAACAGAAACTGACTGCTAAAGGAAACACGCAAGATCTGGCGGTCTGGTGCAGACTGAAGAGGCAGTCTTCTGCTCCCCCCTTTTTTCAGATGGAAGTTATCCTCAGATTCGGCCCGCAACACAGGAAGTGCACCTGCTCAGTCAATCCCCCAGCTTCCGGGCAATCAATGCTGGCAGGTGCACACAGACAAAGGTAGATCTCAGATGGGCAGTCAATCCCCTCGCCGGAGGGTAATCAATGCTGCCAGCCTACAACAATCTGTATGTTCTGATGATCATCAAGATGTTCAGGGACGTTGGACCCGATTTCCAGCAGGTGCCGCTCCCCACCAATAGATGGAGCCTCCCTGGGGGTACTAGCGGTGTCTGCTCTTACCAACACCCCTAGTACCACCTCAGCTGTTCAAAAAAAAAAAAAAAAAAAAAAAACTAATTTTAAAATTAGAGAGAAAACGTGAGGAGAAAACCTCCACTTTCTATCGCGTCTCTTCGCTTTTGACATGACGTGCTTGCTAGTACGGTGGTCCCATAACGGGATAGCTATCGACTGCCTCTCCGGATGCACCGAAGTGTTGTAGGCGAATTCGATGTCGGGGAGGCAGTCAACCCAATCTTTCTGGTCCGGACGAATGAGCGTACGAAGCATCATTTGAGCGGTTTGATGTGCCCGCTCCGTTTGCCCGTCTGTCTAAGGATGTCGAGCCGAAATGGCCGGCGAGTCGTGAATCATAATACTCGCCGACGAGGCGAGTCGCGTGGGACACATAGTAAGTCCTTGCCTCTCGAGTGGAGGAGCAAGTACCCGACGGCAATGTGGTAATGGCTGGCCGTCGGATGATCCGAAGATAGCTGTGCATAGAGCGTGCCGAAGTTGGGATCAGACTGATATGCCCGGATGAAGTGTCGTTGAAGCTCCTCGTCGAATGCGAAGGCATGATGTGTCATAGCGCAAAGATCAGGTCTTCGCGAGAGTGCATCTGCTGCGCCATTGGAGAGGCCGGGGACATGTTTCGGTGTGAAGTCAAATTGGTCAATGAAGTACATCCATCGTCCGATCGTGCTGCTCACCGTGTCCTGCGTCTTATAGTAGGTCAATGGATTGTTGTYTGTGACCCATGTGAACCTACGACGCCCAAGGAGGAAGTGCCGCCAGCGCTTGAGAGCCATCACGAATGCGAGCAACTCCTTCTTCCTTGCATCATCAAGCGAGTTGATGGGAGGCACTTTGTGGCTGAAATACTCCATAGGGTGCCAGTCGTCGCCGTCGTGCTATTCCAAGACTGCCCCAATGCCATAGCCGGAAGCGTCCGTAGTCACTCGCGTCGGCAGGGTGGGGTCATAGATGCYAAGGACGGKTGCCATGAGCATAGCCGTCTTAAGTGCTTGGAATAACCGGCGTGCGTCGTCATCGAATACGAATGGCACCTTTGGCGACTGTAACCTCGTCATAGGTGCAGCAATCTTGGAGTATCCGGTGATGAACCGCTGATAGTAGCCCGCCAGCCCCATGAATGAACGAACGTCCGTGGTGTTGGTGGGCTCGGGCCATACTCGTAGGGCCTYGATCTTGTCCGCAAGCGGACGGATGCCTTGCGGCGTCACATACTGTCCCAAGTACTCCATCTCCTGCTGTGCGAACTCGCACTTGTCGCGGTTTGCTTTGTACTTGGCTTGTCGTAGCCGCTCCCAAACGGTGCGCATGTGTTCCACATGCTCGTCCAAACTCCGACTATACACCAAGATGTCGTCGAGGTAGATGAGTACAAACCGATCCATCATGTGTCGGAACTCCGTTGTCATAGCCGCTTGGAAAGTGGCTGGGGCATTCGTAAGGCCAAACGGCATGACCAGCCATTCGAAACGCCCATACCGTGTCTTGAACGCGGTCTTGTAGCGATCCTCCTTGCGAATCTCGAGTTGGTGGTACCCTTACTTGAGATCCAGCTTCGAGAAGAAATGGGCGCCGCCCAATCGCTCGAGAAGGTCGTCGGTGCGTGGGAGAGGGCCGGCGTTCCTGATCGTCTGCGCGTTGAGCTTGCGATAATCGATGCACAACCGCAAGTCCTTGTTCTTCTTCCGGACGAAGAGAACAGGAGCACCATATGGCGATGAGCTAGGCCGAATCCAACCTTTCTCCAGGAGGTCGTCGAGTTGTGCCCGAAGCACACTTAACTCTTCCTTGCTCATTCGATAGATGCAACCGCGCGGAGGTACGGCCCCGTCCTCGAGGATGATCTCGTGGCGGATGGGTCGATCTGGTACTACTCCGTGCGGGGGTTCGAACACGTCGTTGTAGGCGTCGAGAAGCTCGGTGATGCGTGGATCCGAAGGTGAGTCCGTCGATGAAGCGTCATGGGGCGGGAGGGCGTGGAGWAAACCCCCCCCCATCTCCTCGATGTCGTCTCTGATGATGGAAGCTCGCATGCTTGCGGCGGATACCACGTGGCAGCTGATCAAAGGATGAGGAAGAGGCACCGTGCATGGAACTAGTACTCCGTTCCCATCACGAATGTGAACGGTGTGGTGGAAGAAGTTCACCAGGTGATCCTCGCTTCGCAGCCATGACATGCCCAAGATCATGTCGAATTTGGTGTCCAGAATGTCAAAGGGCACCTCCTCACTTGCGTGAGGGCCAAAGTACACAGGGACGTTGTCAATGCATCGGTCGATTGACTTGTGCGTGTGACCGTCCGCCAATGTGACTTGCGTAGGCTGGGGCTTCCTCCTGACGCGTGGGCCAAGGCCGACGCGTACCATGAAGTCCTGGCTGATGTAGTTGCGAGATGCTCCGCAATCGATCAAGGCACTGCAGGTCGCCTCTCCAATCTGAATGCGTACGTATAGCAATGGTGCGTCAATGTCGTCGTACCGTTGCATCTTGAACTCGCGGTCAATCTTCGCGATGTAAGCGTGAAGGTCGACAACCTCTGCTCCGGCGTCCATCAACGGAGCTGTTACTGCAGTGTGCAAGTAATCATGCAATTGTGCCATGAGCACGTTGCAATGCGGTTTCGGCAATCGTCCGGTCGAGGGAATGGGCATCCACTGGAAGTCCGTGAACGTCAATGGGTCGACCTCTTCAAGTGTTGGCCATGACGTCGAATCCCTGGTGATAGATTGCGGCGAAGCTGCCGAATCGGTTGCCGATGGTGATGAAACCGTGCATGCGATGGATTGTTGCACGTGGAGCGGTTGGTCCAGCGGTGGAACCAAGTGGACAGCATAGTCCTCGTAAGTGTAATGAGAACTTGCGACATTCGCGTTCTCCCCAGATGTGCAGGAGGCCGYTAGCAAGGCGGCCGAATCTKGCGGAGTAGAAGGTGGAGTCGYCTCACCTTYCGCGGAGCTCAGTTTCCCGAGCTGAGGCGGGGTCGCACATCCTCCTTGCCCTGATCCTGGCACAGGGAGGTCTTGTGCTTGGTGCTGTTGCACCAATAGCAGCTGCCGTAGCGGCCGCAGACCTTGTACTCCGCCTCGGCCAGGCTGAACTTGACCCATGGAACTTGTACTGGCTGTCCATTTCCTGCCTGCGATGTGGATTTCGCCTTCCCATTGTTGCGGGACTTGTTGTTGCTTCGCGGCTGGACAGCAGCCACGTGATCCCCGTCACTTGATGCTGGAGTGGCTGCTGGGTTATCTCCACTGTCCGACTGGACTGCAGCGAAGTGCTGCTGTCGTGGACCAGTTTGTACCTTCTCCACATAGGTCGGCTGCCATGTTGACCTCTCGTGTGCAGCTGACCTGTTGGTCTTGATGATCTCTCTCGCCTTGTCGATAATCTCGGCGAAAGTGGCATACTGCTCGCGATCACCAAGAGCCTGGCTCAATGCCGCACAGGACCTGTTGTAGAACTCGCGGCGTAGATGCATGAATGCCAATTCCAGACTGGGCACCGCCGCAATCTTCTGCCACTCCGTGAGCCAATCCCGTGTTGCAGTGTTGCCTTGTGACATGGTGAAGAGACGGTTGATGGCGAGTGCCGGCGCGTCGTCGACGATGAACCGCTTCTTCCACAACCGTGTCAGTTCCTCCCATGTGATTTTGTCCTTCAAGTCTGCTACGTCGACGCCGTGAGAGGTTGCCAGGTGGCTCAAACAGGTCTGGCATCCGCCCTTTGAGTTCAGGAACAGGGCGCCGATGTACGCATGCTTGGATACGGGCAAAATCCTGAGTTGCGTTGTGAATGCTTCCCACCAGAGGACCGGATCCTGCTGCGTGTAGTCGTCGAACTTGTCCAATTGGAAAGTTGGCATCTTGTACATCTTCGGATTGTCCTCCGTGTTCGTCGACTGCAGCTGCTGGACCTCGGTCTTCAAGTTATGCAACTGACTGCTGATGGTGGTCGGCGCAGCGAMGGTGCTGATGTCGCCGAGCATTGCCACTAYGTGGTCAACGCGTTCCTCYAGTTGGCGGCTAGAGGATGCACTGCTGGAAGCCCCARCAGCTGGTCCTGGTACAGCGTTCTCCAGGTCCAGCATTCGGGCATTGAGTGCCCGAGTTGCGTCCTCGTGGCTYTGCACTGTGTGGCGGAGCTTCGCCAACTCCTGATGCTGTTGCGTCAGGTTCTGGTACTGCTTCTCCAACTCGGACTGTTGGTAGTTGCACGTGTACAACAATCGTGTCACGAGTTTGGAGAGAAACTCCTTATGCTGCTCTTCCGGTGTCGCGTCGTCGTCRMTGGGTTCAAAGTGCCAAAATTTGAGTCTGCCCACGCTGGTTGCTTCATGCCGCTGCAGCAGGTCCTGGGCTTCCTTGCGACGAGCCTGGGCATCTGCGTCCGCTTYGGCCTGTAGYYGGAGCTTCTCTGCTGCTGCCGCTTCGTCAGCCTRTTGCTRGGCAGCCTTGACTGCCAGCTGGCGTTGTTCCTCAGCCGCGATTAGTGCGAGCTGAGTTTCAAACMGTTGTCGGTATTCGGCAATGGATTCATTTGCCAGTTGGCCTGGCATGCCCAGAAGTGAGCCCGTCATGGTGGCGGGGCACTGCTGACGTGGCACTGGTATGATGTGGCACTGATTACATGGCACTGCTTACGTGGCACTGTTTAACGTGGCACTGCTGACGTGGCACTGCTTACGTGGCAATGTGTCTGACGTGGCACTGCTGACGTGGCACTGTGTGGTTGACGTGGCACCGCTGGCGTGGCACCGCTGGCGTGGCACTGCTGACGTGGCACTGTGTCTGACGTGGCACTGCTTACGTGGCACTATGAGTTATGTGGCACTGCTTACGTGGCACTGTGTCTGACGTGGCACTCCTGACGTGGCACTGCTTACATGGCACTGTGTCTGACGTGTTACTGCTGACGTGGCACTGTACCAACCCAGACATGCATGCAAAGGGTGGGTGGGAGGGAAAACGCAGTTAGGAAACCAACCCAACAATATTTTCCTCTGGCCCTAATCAACCGATAAAATAAAAAAATAAAAAATAAAAGACGACTACTTCCTTTTTTTTTTTTTTTTGTATATATCTGTCGATTTATGATGAGTAGGATATGTCAGAAGAGTATTATGAATGAGATCCAGGCTAGGTGCCGCAAACTTGCGGCTTTTACAAACTGCGATCTTGAAAAAAATTTTTTTTTGCGAAATAGAGTAAAGATGCGATTTTCAGAAAAGAACGAAATCCAGTTTCTGAGAACATAGCAACCTCCGAATATGCCTAACGCAATATTGGTAGGCTTCGCAAGATATCTTTTTCAAAAAAAAATTTGCGAGATAGAATGGAAATGCGATTTTCAGAAAAGAATAATTTCAGTTTCCGAGAATATGACCACTTCTATCGTTATCCCAATATGCCTAGAGAACGAAAATACTAACTTCAGAAATTTCAGCTATGTATGCGAAATATCA